AGGAGGGAGGGCAGCAGGAAAGGCCACGGACTAAAGCACTGAAGGGCCGTTCCCCAGGGAGCCCCTGCCCAGACCTGAACTTGCTTCTGCACTTGCTGTCCCTTTCCCAGCGGAGCCGAAGCGTCGGGTGCCGCTGCCGGGGGGATGGAGCTGCCAAGGACAAGCTGGGAGGGTGTTTGCGAGGGAAGGGGGTAGAAGGAGCTCTTGATGTGCTTTTTTTACTTCTTCATCCCACAGAATTGCCACGAGAGGAAATACTTCAGAGGGGCTTCCCTCCAGATAAGGCCTGAAGATGCCAGGAGGTTTCAGCCGGGAGGAAAGGAGCTGTGGAAGAAAAGCAGCCTAAAAACAGCCAGTGGGGATCATCAGGTTTTCCAGCCAAGAAGAACAAGGAGAGAGATGAGGGAATCGGGTTCCAATTCCTAATGCTTTGGTGGGTGCAGGAATGATTTCTGTGTGTTTTCCAGTCCCTTTGGATTCCTGGGATGATTTTAAAATGATGGCTTTAGCAATCAACTAAATCGCAGATGTTGTTTTTGAGAGGAAATGATGCCAAAGAAATGCAGAGAGAGAGCATGGAATCATCCTGGGATCCTGGAGTGGTTTGGGTTGGAAAGGATCTCAGGGATCATCTCCTCCCCCCCCCTGCCACAGGCAGGGACACCTTCTAATAGACCTCCAGCCTGGCCTTGGCCACTTGCAGGGATGGGGCAGCCACAACTTCTCTGTGCCAGGCCACCTCCCCACCCTCCCAGGGAAGAATGTCTCCCTTCTGTGCAATCTTTCCCTTTCTTCTCTGCAGGAAGTGGGCTGGGACAAGGGAATTGGCTCCCACGAGGCCGAGGATCAGAGCGGGCTGTGCACAGGGGACAACTTCCACTTCCGAACGGGGAAGGGCCCCTTCGTGCCCACCCCTGGCAAACTGGGACAGAGTAACATCTGCCTGCAGCTGGCTGGAGTTCCCGTTGGCTCTGGGCTTTCAGCCCGCCGGGGCTGCGGCGGGAGCCGCGCGGAGGGAACGGGGGCCGGGGCCGCGCCGAGGGCCGGGGCCGGGCTGAGCGGGCGGGGCGGGGCCGCAGGGCCAGGCGGGCTGGGATTGGGCGGAGGCGCTCGAGTGCTGATTGGGCAGCGCTGCCGGCCCGCGGTATAAAGGGCCGGCGGGGCAGGTGGGGGCGGTTGTGTGTGGGGGCTGAGGGTGCGGCCCCGCTGCTGCCCGGGCTGCGGAGGGGAGAGCGCCTTGGCCGCTGGGTTTGTGCACCGGGGCAGCCGGGGGCGTTTAGGGGCGCCTTGTGCTGGGCGGCGGGGCCCGGGTAAGCCCCTTACCTGCCGGGTGCCCCCGGGGAGAGCCGTGGCATGGCTGTGGGTCCTGTGCTCTCTGGGTGTCTGAGGGTTTGCTTTGGGATCCCAAACCCTTTCCCCGTGCAGGGTTATGAGGCAAAGACTGCTTTAACTTGGTTTTTTGGTGCTGCGTTAATGCTTTTTGCTCGTTCTGTGTCCATTTGCAGCCTCGCTCGTGGTTTCCCCTGGTGTGGAGGCGAGTTGTGCTTCCTGCTGGGAGAGAGAACGGCCTTGGGAAGCTGCTCCATGAGCCACAGCTGTGCCGAGCCCGGCAGTCTGTCCAGGTAAGAGCAGGGCTTCTACTGCCCGTGAGGAGCTGGGTTTGCTGTTGGAAGATAGAATGTGCCTATGCCTTTAAATGCAAGGACAGGCAGAAGCCGGGAGGGACCCTGAGCAGGTTTGGTGGCACGACAGCAGTTTGAAAAGACCTTGACTGTGGGAGAAATGTCCAGGAAAACGATTCCTTTTTTGCAGGGAGGCAGTTTGCGAGGACAGGGGGGTTGCTGTGCTCTCTAGCAAAACTACTGACCTTGGGATGTCTAGGGGGGGGAGATGTTGGCCACGTGTGGGCTGGAGCAAAGGTGTGTGGGTGCCTGAGTGTGACAGCCGTGGGTGTGCAGGAAGGGGGTTCTGGTGCCATTGGAGCTGCCAGGGAGCCAAAAGGGGCACGGTTGTCTGAAAAAGGCAAAAAGTCTCAGTCTCTGTTGACACGTGTACCAAAGGAGATGCAAATTTTCCCTTTCTCGTTGCAGACTTCGCAAAGCTCCCCAGGAAAGGAAGCTTTATATTCCTCCCCAGCTTTATGCTAAAGGTTTCCTTCCTCCTGTCTCAGCACCCTTTCTGCTGTTGGGAGAGCACAAGGTGGATGGAGAGGATCCCCAGGCATCTGCAGGCACAAGGGACTCATATAACTGCGATTTTCCTATGCCCCTCGTGAAAGGGACTTTCAGGATACTCTTGGGAATGTGCCAGCTCTCCTGCTGAAGCTTTTCTATGGAATATTTGAACACAAAGAGTAAAACTAAAATCAGGTCTGTTCTGGAGTATGTTACACTTGTGCAAAGCTCCTTTCCTCTGTTTATTTTCTGTTCTGGAAAGAACAATCTGGGGTTCCTGGGCACTTCCTATTGAGTGATTCCATGAAAATAATTTTGTACTGAAAGGGGAAAGGAGCTGTCTGTGGAAGGTCAGATGTGCATGATAAAAGCTTTATGCTTTTCAGACAGTAAAGTCTTAAAATATATAGCAGAGCTATATATGGCAATGAAGAGGATTACACTCAAATGCAAGGTTTTTAAATTTAATAATTTTGTGTGCTGTGTCGGTAAGGTACTTTTGTAATTTGTTATCTTGCTTTCTTTTCCTTAGGAGCCTTGCGTCTTTTGAGATCTCCTGATCATTTCAACTGCAGCTTGGTATTTTTTCACAAGTGTTATCCCATCCCGAGGTGAAGCTGCTCTGTGTTGAGGATGGCTACAGACACCTAGGTTTGCAAGTAGTCAGTGGGGGGTTACAGCCCAGAGATGGAGCAAGGGCTTGGGTGTCAGCTTAGGAATTGCCAGGGGTGTTTTGAAGGTAGTATGGGTGGAAAGCAGTGTCCAGGAGCCCCCTAAATGCCTGTGAAGGCATCCACTGACTTTTCAGATGTGCCATTTAAGTTTTCCTCTCGTTCACCCAGATATTCTGCGCGATTACAGCTGCAGTCTTTGGCTGCAGGCAGTGACCCTGGGTGGTTTGCCTAAAGAGAAGGGAGACTCTTTGAGCTCTCCCCATATATCTGGGTGACTTTAGTTAGGGTTTCTTTACCATGTCAGAGGGACAGGGTGTAAAGCAGAGTTGAACAGAACAGAGGCCAGAGGAGCAGAGCAAGAAGGTGGGTGGTCACCTGACATCAGCACAAAGACGTGGCTTTTGGCTCCACGTTTACTCGCTGTGTTAAGGATTTTGTTGTTTGGGTTTGTTTTTTCTTTGTTTTCAGATGCAGAGCCCTGGCCCCAGGAGGCTCTAGGCACCGGAGGGGAGGTGATCTGGGTGAGTCCCGGTGAGCAAGGTGAGCATTGACTCCAGGACAGAAGTAAATGGTCTTTTACAGGTGTTGTGGTGAATCTGTGCACATGCTTTGTTTGTTGTGTTTTCCAGGGGTTCTGCCACCTTCTAACAGACAGTCCAGTGCTTCAGGGCTCCTGCTGGTAAGAGGTCACTGTGGAGGAGAGGTAGGTAGGAGCTACCCCAGGAAAGCCATCCTTTCAGGCAGTATCTCAGTGTGTACATTTGCCTTTGGCTTTTTTACTTTGCAGAGAATGTGTGCAGCCTCAGAGGGCCACAGCCACCTGCTAGTTAGGTTTGATGGTCTTCAGCTGTCCTTGTGAGTAATCTCCTAATACTACGAGGGTCATCAATTAAGGCTGGACCTTTTCCAGTTGCAGGTGCCATCCAGCCTGTGTTTGGCAAAGGAGGAGCATTGAGGTTGAGTCAGGGAGGTAGTGAGGAGGTGCTGGGGTCTCCCTTACTTTCAACACTTTTTTTCTCACTCCCCTAGGTACGGCACACGGTGATGGCAGCAGCCTCCGACTGGGGTCGGAGCCAGTGGCCCGAGAAACTCTCAGGGGATGGTGAGTAGCCAATTGCGGGGTTATCTCCCACGTGCTGCTGAACTCTTGTCTCAATTCCAGTTTTCTTTCTCGTAGCCGACCGAGTCAGGGATCACAGGACCTTCTGAGCCAGCCAGGTGTCCTTCCTTTACATGGAAGATGGATTCACATCCCCAGCTGTGGGAAAGATAAGTGGAGGACTATCACCTGGAGAGGGGATGAGAGCTGGGTCCAGTTTTATGGTTAGGAGGGAGGGATTTTCAAATGAGCACAGGGGAAAGGGTCTGCCCTAACAGGCCCTTGGCACACATAGGAGGAGCAGTTTACTTTTCATCACTGGAGTAGAATGTGCAGGGCAGAGCCGTTCAGGTCTGTGTCATGTCCTTTGTCCAGTCTGTGTTTTGTGTCTTAAAATTCACAATCATGGTGTCCTTTCTCAGAGTTCTCTCTCCTCGTTGCACCAGAGCACTTGTCGGGAAATGTGTCCTTGGAGTTTGTGTTGGACCTGGAACTGCTCTGCCCTGCAGTGCAGACTTGGGGGTAGGTGGAGTAGAAAGGAGACTTTCCAGTTAACCTGTGGATAGGCTTAGCCACTGAGGGCAGGACCTTAAAGTTAGGTCAGTGTTTGTTTGTGCAGGCTGTCTTTGGACCCCAGATGGCTTGTCTAAGGAGAAATTAGAATTGCACAGCAGTTAAGGTCCCTCCATCTATATGGCTGACTTTGGTAACTCATTTCTATGCAGCGTCAGAGGGACTGGATGTAAAGCAGAGATAAACAGAAGAGGCTGGAGGAGCAGAGTCAGAAGGTGGGTTCTCATGTGAGGTCAGAGCCAAGACATGACTTTTGGTCCTAGGTTTACTTGATCATTTGGATGGTTTGGTGGTTTAGTTTTGTTTTTTTGTTTTTTTTTCCCCAAGATGCAGAGCCACCGGCCCAGCAGACGATAGGCACTAGAGGGAAGGTGAGCCTGGTGAGGAAGGTGAGCAGGGACTGCAGGACAAAATTAGATGCTTTTTTGCAGGCGGTGTACTTGTGGTGAATCTGTGTACATACTTGTTTTTTTGTTTTCCAGGCAGTGCACTGATTTCTGACGTACAATCCAACGTGATGGGGACCCTGCCTGTAAGAGGTCACGGTCAAGGGGTGTCAGACAGAAACTGCCATGGGGGCAGCAAACTCTTGGGCAGTATCTCAGTACTCACATTTGCCTCTGGGGTTTTTTTGCAGGAGATGTAGACAGCCTGACAGGGCCGAAGCCAACTCACAATGAGGAGATGGACACGGTTTGGTCCCCTGGAGCTGTCCTTGTAGGTAATCTCTGAGTATTAAAAGGATCAGCAATGAAGCACTGAGCTTTTCTGATTGCAGGTGCCATCTGGGTAACCTTTGGGAGCAGATGAGCATTGGAGGTGAGTCAGGGAGGCAGCAGGAGGAGCAGGGATCCACTGCAGCTTTAGAAATGCCCTCTAATTGTTTCTCTCTCTCGCTCAGGTATCCCAGAAGATGACAGCACATTGTCCAAGTCTGGTCAGAGCCAGTGACATGAGGACCTGCCTCGGTGCCAGTGAGTAGAGGAATCGTCGGGGCTGGGGCCATGTGCCACACCACTCAGATATGGTGTCTGCTTTTCTTTCTTGCAGTTGACTCCGAGTACTCTCCGGATGACAGGAACCTCTGAGCCAGCCCAGGTGCCCCTCCTCTGCATCAAAGATGGATTCACATCCCCGGCTCTCGGAAAGATAAGTGCAGGGCAAAGACCCAGAGAGGGGCTGGGAGTCGGTGCAAGTATGTGCATCGCCTGGAGGGATTTTTGCAATTAGTATGGTGCAATGGGTGTCCTGTAGCAGGTTATTTAGACACCTCAAAGGAAGGGCTTACTTTGTATCATTGGATTCCCATGTGCAGGGCAGAGCAGTTCCGGTCTGTGTCACGTCCTTTGTCTCCTCCATGTTTGTGTCCTTCGTCTCTTAATTGTGTCACATGGTGTGTGTCATCACAGGTATGGGGTGTCTCACTTGGGGTCAGCCTGGAACTGCTCTGCCCTGCTACGTGGATCAGTGGGTAGATAGAATATTGCTCAGGGTCCCACATCAACATGTCAGTTGCCTTAGTCAGTCGAGCCAATGGCTGTACAGTCCTGCCGGATGGAGCAGGTGTCCATAACTTGTGTGCAATCACTATAGCTGCGTGTTGTGGAGCTGATGGTACTTGGATAGCAGGGCCTTGAAGCTGGGTTGTCATTTGTATTCTTGTATGGTGTGGTCAGAGTTCTCACTCGCTCAGTGGAAATGAGTTCTTTGAAGTGGTTAAGGTCTCAGAGACCATGTGGGTGACCTGACTAACCTTTTGTTTTTTGTTGGTTTTTTTCAGATAAGTGGACACAGTGTACCCCAGGCCGAGACGAGTTGAAGCAGCCTGGGAAGAAGGTTGTCTTGGGTGTTGGATGAAGGATGTCAGTTTTAGCTGTAGGAGTCCTTTATCTTGTGCCTTCTTGCTTTTTATTTTCCAGATGGGGCCCAATCGGTCTCGAGGTGTAGCGGCTCAGCAGGGAGACAAGCGAGGTGAGAATTTTACTCCCCAGCCGAATTTGGAGTTAGTTTTAGGATGTCATCTATGTGGTCAATCTCTGCATATATGTTGTAACTGTTTAATTTTTTTTCTAGGTGATACACAACCCTTTACCCGTCTGCTGAAGGTGCCGGAGGTCCATCCGATCAGAGGTCAAGCTAAAGGGGCCCGAGATAGCCAGTATGAGGCAGTACATCAGCACAAGCCTCCATATCTGGGTTGTCTTGCAGCGGCCGTCTGTCCACTTCACAGTGTGTAGCAATGCTTCGGCGTGCAGTCTGATGGGGTTTAGAGGTTTTTGGCTTTCCTTGTGAACCACCCCTAATGTTTGAGAGCTCAGTGTTTGAGCATTTACCCATTTCATTTGCAGGGGCGATCTTGGGAGCAGCTGAAGAGAGAGGAGCTGTCTAGGTGAGTTGGGGAGGCAGCAGGAGGAGCGGGGATCCACTGCAGCTTTAGAGATGCCTTCGAATTTTGTGTCTCACTCACTTAGGTATCCTGGAAGGTGGCAGCATATTCTCCAAGTCTGGTCAGAGCCAGCGACACGAGGACCTGCCTCGGTGCCGGTGAGTAGAGGGATCATCCGGCTGGGGCCACGTGCCACACTACTCAGATATGGTGTCTGGTTTTCTTTCTTGCAGTTGACTCCGAGTACTCTCAGGATGACAGGAACCTCTGAGCCAGCCCAGGTGCCCCTCCTCTGCATCGAAGATGGATTCACATCCCCGGGTCTCAGAAAGATAAGTGCAGGGCAAAGACCCAGAGAGGGGTTGGGAGTCGGGGCAAGTGTGTGCATTGCCCGGAGGGATTTTTGCAATTAGTACGGTGCAATGGGTGTCCTGTAGCAGGTTATTTGGAGACCTCAAAGGAAGGGCTTACTTTGTATCATTGGATTCCCGTGTGCAGGGCAGAGCAGTTCCGGTCTGTGTCACGTCCTTTGTCTCCTCCATGTTTGTGTCCTTCGTCTCTTAATTGTGTCACATGGTGTGTGTCATCACAGGTATGGGGTGTCTCACTTGGGGTCAGCCTGGAACTGCTCTGCCCTGCTACGTGGATCAGTGGGTAGATAGAATATTGCTCAGTCTCACATCAACATGTCAGTTCCCTCAGACAGTCGAACCGATGGCTGTACGGTCCTGCTGGATGGAGCAGGTGTCCACAACTCATGTGCAATCATTATAGCTGAGTGTTGTGGAGCTGATGGTACTTGGATAGCAGGGCCTTGAAGCTGGGTTGTCATTTGTATTCTTGTATGCTGTGGTCAGAGTTCTCACTCGCTTAGTGGAAATGAGTTCTTTGAAGTGGTTAAGGTCTCAGAGACCATGTGGGTGACCTGAATAACCCTTTGTTTTTTGTTGTTTTTTTTTCTGATAAGTGGACACAGTGTACCCCAGACTGAAACAAGCTGAAGCAGCCTGGGAAGAAGGTTGTATTAGGCGTTGGATGAAGGATGTCAGTTTGAGCCATAGGAGTCCTTTATCTTGTGCCTTTTTGTTCTTTATTTTCCAGATGCGGCCCAATCGGTCTCGAGGTGTAGCGGCTCAGCAGGGAGACGAGCAAGGTGAGAATTTTACTCCCCAGCCGAATTTGGAGTTAGTTTTAGGATGTCATCTATGTGGTCAATCTCTGCATATATGTTGTAACTGTTTAATTTTTTTTCTAGGCAATGCACAACCCTTTGCCCGTCTGCTGAAGGTGCTGAAGGTCCATCCGATCAGAGGTCAAGCTAAAGGAGCCCGAGATAGCCAGTATGAGGCAGTACATCAGCACAAGCCTCCATATCTGGGTTGTCTTGCAGCGGCCGTCTGTCCACTTCACAGTGTGTAGCAACGCTTCGGCGTGCAGTCTGATGGGGTTTAGAGGTTTTTGGCTTTCCTTGTGAGCCATCCCTAAATGTTTGAGAGCTCAGTGTTTGAGCATTTACCCATTTCATTTGCAGGGGTGATCTTGGGAGCAGCTGAAGAGAGAGGAGCCTTCTAGGTGAGTTGGGGAGGCAGCAGGAAGAGCGGGGATCCACTGCAGCTTTAGAGATGCCTTCGAATTTTGTGTCTCACTCACTCAGGTATCCTGGAAGGTGGCAGCA